GGGGGTGGCACAGTCCCTCGGGGGGTGGCACAGTCCCTCGGGGGTGGCACAGCCCCTCCGGGAGTGTCACAATCCCTCGGGGAGTGGCACAGCCCCTCCGGGACTGGCACGGCCCCTCAGGAGTGGCACAACCCCTCGGGGGTGGCACAGTCCCTCGGGGAGTGGCACATTCCTCGCCACAGCCCCTCAGGAGTGTCACAGTCCCTCGGGGGTGGCACAGCCCCTCTGGGTTGGCACATTCCTCGCCGTCTGCCCGCGGAGCTCTTTGCATTGGAAATGGGGTTGCTCATGAAGGAGCCTCTGATCTCGGGGTGGGTCAGTGTTGGGGCTCCAGACGCTGATCTGGCGGTGCCCGCTGGCACTGCCTGAGCAGGGGGAGCTTGTCATTTATACCCGCTGGTTGATGTCATTTGTACCCCAGGTTGTTGTCATTTACACCCGAAATTATTGCCATTTATACCTGAGATAATTATCATTTATACCCAAGGTTATTGCCATTTATACCTGAGATAATTATCATTTATACCTGAAGGTATTGCCATTTATACCTGAGATTATTGCCATTTATTCCTGAAGTTACTGACATTTATACCTGAGATTATTGCCATTTATGCCTGAGATTATTATCATTTATACCCGAAGTTATTGCCATTTATATCTGAGATTATTATCATTTATACCCTAATTTATTGTCATTTATACCTGAAGTTATTGCCATTTATACCTGAAGTTATTGTCCTCTATACCTGATGGCTGATGTAATTTATACCTGGTGGTTGTTGCCATTTACACCTGAGATTATTACCATTTATACCCGAGGTTTTGTCCATTATACCTGAGATTATTGCCATTTGTACCCCAAGTTATTGCCATTTATACCTACTGGTTGACACCCCGATGGTTGATGTTTCTCTGCCTGGGAGGTTTTTTTGCCTCAGCCCTTTTTCCTCCTCCCGTTCCAACAGGTACGAGGAGGAAATCAACCGGCGCACGACGGTGGAGAACGAGTTCGTGGCGCTCAAAAAGGTGAGAGGCTCCAAACCCGGGGGTCATTCCACCCGCTGGAGGTCGGTCTGGTACAAAACTCGGCAGAAACGGTGAATTATTAGTAAAAAAACCCACCAGAAGTGCTACAGCAGCAGCTCCACAGCCGCGGATTTGTCACCCCGAACACGCTCCGGGAGCGGGACGGGAGGGGGTGTTTGAGGGAGGGGGACAGGGCAGGACAGGTCCCACCAGAACACCCGGTTCTTCCCGGCCTCCTCTCCACATCCTTTATTCTTGGACATCAGAAAGGCAGGAATCATCTGAAGAACATTAAAGAAAAGCCCTTTAAACCCTCCCGAGGTGGTGCCGGGTTTGCGGCCGCGTCCCGAGTGACAAACCAGCCAATTCCTGTCGGTCGTGTTGGAATGGTTTGGTTTTCCTCCAGGAGACACCAGGACACCCTGACTCACCCCCTCGCACCTTTCTGCTCTTGGCATCCTGTTGGGACACGTTTCTGTCTCACTTTTGCTGCCTTCCGTGTGTTTTCTCCGGCGTTTCCAGCCAGGCTGGGGCTGGAATGTGCGTCCCTGCTCTCTTTCAGGATGCAGACTGCATCTTCCTCAACAAGGAGGAGCTGGAGGTGAAGGTGGATCTGTTGAGAAGGCAGTTGGAGCTGTTGAAATGTGTGTTTGAGGAGGTGAGTCCCTCTGGTCCGTCCCAGCAGTTTGGGGGTCCTGTCTCACCCCGCAAATTTGCGCTCCTGGAAACCCCTCTGGGACGTGTCTCATCCCAAGCCCGGAATAATTAAAAGCTTGGAAGTACAAGGCTGATCTGAAATTACCATGATTATGCTGGGAATAGGGTGGTTCCCCCTCTCCTCCTGTAGCTCCAGGTAGGAACTGGCTCTGTCCTAACTCTGCCCCGGAGAAGAGATGCGTCCGTCTCGTTCCTCCGGCTCTCGGCTCCTGATTAGAGCTGAGGGAACTCCCGGCCCAGTCCTGTCATTAGCAGCCCTGGAGCAGCCGGAGATGACAGGATACCAAACTCCTGGCCCTTGATGTGGATGCGATTGCTCCAGGTCCTCAAAGTGGGTCAGAGGCGACGTGTGGCGACTCACCCAGCCCCGGGATTTTCTGCTGAGCCGTCCCCGGGGACACTGCAGGGCTTGCTCTCCGTGTCCCGGCCCTTTGCCTGCCTTGCAAAGTCAGGTTCTGGGAGCTGACTAAGCCCTTCCCCGCCCGCAGGAACGAGCTCAGGTGGATCGGCAGCTCTGCGACACCTCGGTCATCGTCAAGATGGACAACAACCGGGACCTGGACATGGAGAGCATCATCAAGAACGTGGAGTGCTGGTACCAGGAGATCGCCCAGAAGAGCAAAGAAGAAGTCGACGCTTTCTACCAAACCAGGGTAGGCCTGGCAGACCCTCCTGGGCCTCTGCACAGCGATGCCCCCAGCCCAAAAATGACAACTGCCTCGTTTTCTGGTCCCAGTTTCAGGAGCTCCAGGACAAGAGGGGGAAATACTGTGACGACCTGCAGAGCAACAAGTGTGAGATCTCAGAGCTGACCAGGATGATACAGAAGCTGCAGTGTGAGCTGGAGAGTGTCAAGAAGCAGGTAGGAGAGGGGATGAGCCCAGGGAGGTTGGACAGCTGAGGTATCAGGAAAGGTGACACACTGTCCTTTAGGAGGGCAAGAAGCAGCAGGAGAGGCCCAAGGTGATGATCCCAGGGAGGCTGCACAGCTCAGATAGAGGGAAAGGTGACACACTGCCCTTTAGGAGTCAAGAAGCAGCAGGAGAGGTGATGATCCCAGGGAGGTTGCACAGCTCAGACATCAGGAAAGGTGACACACTGCCCTAAAGGAGTCAAGAAGCATCAGGAGAGGCCCAAGGTGATGATTCCAGAGAGACTGGACAGCTCAGATACAGGAGAAGGTGGCACACTGCCCTTTAGGAGTTAAGAAGCAGCAGGAGAGGCCCAAGGTGATGATCCCAGAGAGGTTGCACAGCTCAGACATCAGGAAAGGTGACACACTGCCCTTTAGGAGGTCAAGAAGCAGCAGGAGAGGCCCAAGGGGATGATTCCAGAGAGATTGGAAAGCTCAGATAGAGGGAAAGGTGGCACACTGTCCTTTAGGAGTCAAGAAGCAGCAGGAGAGGCCCAAGGTGATGATTCCTTGGAGGCTGGGAAGCTCAGATACAGGGAAAGGTGGCACACTGCCCTAAAGGAGGTCAAGAAGCAGGGAGGAGAGGCCCAAGGTGATGATCCCAGGGAGGCTGCACAGCTCAGATAGAGGGAAAGGTGGCACACTGCCCTTTAGGAGGTCAAGAAGCAGGGAGGACAGACCCAAGGTGATGATCCCAGGGAGGTCGCACAGCTCAGATATCAGGAAAGGTGACACACTGCCCTAAAGGAGTCAAGAAGCATCAGGAGAGGCCCAAGGTGATGATTCCAGAGAGATTGGAAAGCTCAGATACAGGGAAAGGTGACACACTGTCCTTCAGGAGGTCAAGAAGCAGCAGGAGAGGTGATGATCCCAGGGAGGTTGGACAGCTCAGGTATCAGGAAAGGTGACACACTGTCCTTTAGGAGGCCAAGAAGCAGGTAGGAGAGGTGATGATCCCAGGGAGGTTGGACAGCTCAGGTATCAGGAAAGGTGACACACTGCCCTTCAGGAGTCAAGAAGCAGCAGGAGAGGCCCAAGGTGATGATTCCAGAGAGACTGGACAGCTCAGACATCAGGAAAGGTGGCACACTGTCCTTTAGGAGGTCCAAGAAGCAGCAGGAGAGGCCCAAGGTGATGATCCCAGGGAGGTTGCACAGCTCAGATATCAGGAAAGGTGACACACTGCCCTTTAGGAGGTCAAGAAGCAGGGAGGACAGACCCAAGGTGATGATCCCAGGGAGGCTGCACAGCTCAGACCCGCTGGATCAGCCTTTGGGAGACTTCAGACCTGCTCCGGGCCGTGGTTGGAAAGGGAAGGGGGGGCAGAGGGGCGGGAGGCCGGCGGGTTTTCTCTGTCTGCAGTTTGGATTCATCCCAACCCGGGGTGTCCAGGAATGAGGAAGCAAAGCCCTGTAGACCCTGCAGTGTCGTCCTCCCCTCTCCACCAGGTCTCCTGCCTGCAAACCTCCATCTGTGACGTGGAGCAGCGCGGGGACTGCGCCCTCAAGGACGCGCGCGAGAAGCACATCGAGCTGCAGAACGCGCTGCAGAAGGCCAAGGACGAGCTGGCCTGCATGCTCAGGGACTACCAGGAGCTGCTCAACGTCAAGCTGGCCCTGGACATCGAGATTGCCACCTACAAGACCCTCCTGGAGGGTGAGGAGAGCAGGTGGGTGACACGGCTCTGTCCTTTCCGTCCGTCGGAGGCCGCGGTGGTTCCAGGTCCCGAGTGGATTTTACAGCTCCAGGGGCTTCCCAGGCTCGCAGGAACTGGGGCTGGAGGCCACGGGGGCCACCCTGGTGCCAGCAAACCCAGCTCCTGTGCCAGGGGCAGTCAGATGGGTCACAACGAGGGGGGAGTGGGCTGGGTCCGGGGCTGGAAGCTCTGGGTAACCTGCACTTCTCATTTCTCTTCTCTCCCCCGACAGGATCTGTGTGGGGAACCCCGTGAGTGTGTGTAAGTACCCGCAGGATTTCCAGCCCTCAGGGTTTATCTTAGGAAAGGCAGTTTTGGGAGCAGCACTGTCCGTCTGCCCCCTCCCTCTGCCTCCCTTTGCCACCCTCGGGAAGGTTTAACCCCAGAAATCTCAAATATCGCCAAATTTAAAAACCAAAAATTATCAGCTTTTGGACTGAGGGGGAGGAGGTCAAATTCACACCCCTTTTCTACTGTCGGAGGCAACAGTGAGATGTCCGGGCCATGCACTGGACCCGGGAGGGAACGAGGCAGCAGCCAGAGCAGACCCGTGGGAAGGGGGAGGGTCCTCGGGACTGGGGAGGGTCTGTGGGACCGGGAGGGTCTGCGGGACCGGGAAGGGTCTGCGGGAATTGGGAGGGTCTGCGGGACCGGGGAGGGTCTGTGAGACTAGAGAGGGTCTGCGGGAATGGGGAGGGTCTGCGGGAACGAGGAGAGTCTGTGGGACCGGGGAGGGTCTGTGGGAACGGGAAGGGTCTGTGGGACCGAGGAGGGTCTGGGGGACCGGGGAGGGTCTGTGGGACCGGGGAGGATCTGCGGGACCGGGGAGGGTCTGTAGGAACGGGAAGGGTCTGCGGGAATGGGGAGGGTCTGAAGGAACGGAGAGGGTCTGTAGGAACGGGAAGGGTTTGTGGGACCGAGGAGGGTCCGTGGGACCGAGGAGGGTCTGCGGGAACGGGGAGGATCTGCGGGAACGGGGAGGGTCTGTGGGACCAGGAGGGTCTGTGAGACTAGGGAGGGTCTGCGGGACCGAGGAGGGTCTGTGGGAACGAGGAGGGTCTGTGGGACCGGGAAGGGTCTGTGGGAACGAGGAGGGTCTGCGGGGGGACGTGTCGGGACACGGGGAAGGGTCTATGGGAAGGAGGGAGGGGGGTCTCGGGCACGCGGGACAACCCCCCTGGAAATCAGGCCGGGTGGGTTCCGTCACCCGGGACAGAACTCGCCCGGAAATTCTCACGGTGAGGCGGGCCGGGGGGTGCCGGGGGGGCCCTTCCAGGCTCGGGGGGGTCTGCGTTTCTGCTGTTTTTCCCGCCCCCTACATCCGATACTGCCCCCGCGGCTTGTTTCAGCGTTGGTCAGCACAGCGGTGTACTTCTATTCCCTCACGGACGCAACTGCGGGCTGCTGGAGGCTCAATCGGGGCGGGCGGGTTCGGCTCGCTGGCCGGGCCGGGTCGCCACAGCCGCCCGGCGCGGCGCGCTATCAGCTCCCGCAGCGCCCCGCGTTCATCGCACCCCAAGCTCTGCCTGTCCTCAGCTCGGTGCCAAAGGCCCTGGCCAGGTTGCCGCCGGAGTGTTACTGCCCCCCAGGCGGGGTGGGGTGGCAAGGCGGGGGGGGTTCACGCTCCCGGAGCGGGGGGTACACGGCCGCCCCGGGCTGGCGCCGCGGGTGGGGGCTGCAGGCCGTAGGCGGGTGGGTCGACTTGCGGCAACCAGGGCTCGTCATCACCGGCAGCTGGCCGGGTGCCCCCGGTGGGTGGGTCCCCCCGTTGTCCGGGCGGCGCCGAAGGTCGTGGGGTGCAACCCCGGCGTGTGCGGCGAACGCTTAGGCGTGGCAGAGACTCCCTGGCGTGGTCCCCTAGGTGCCGCGGAGGTGGGGGGGCTGGCGTGGGCCTCCCCCCGCCGGGGGCTGGAGCGCGGCCGTTCCTACACCAGGGATGAGAGCGGGAAGAGGCGGGATTAGGCGGGATGAGTCCCCCAAACATCCGCTGTCCTGCGATCGCAAACCATTCCACATTTTATTAACACCCCTCCCCCCCCTCCCAGCCCGATTTTCAGAGCCCCCCCCCACCCTCAGGCCCTCTTAGAAGTCTTCTCCCACCTCAGTCTTTTCTCTGTGTTCCGCACTGTAGGTCATCACAGCTTTAATGGGTTTGCTCGTGGCGCTGCTTCCCCCTCCGGCTTCTCCCAGGTTAATTAACAACATTCCTCCTTCCAAGACATCCCTTTTTTCCCCTTCCAGCTCCTCCCAAAGCATTTCAGAAAAGCGAGAGAGGATTTAACCATTTAACTTTCCCAGCAGACACTGTAAAGCGCAGACTCCCTTTATTTTTATTCTTTTGTTCGTTTGTTTTGTTTTTCTTT